GCGCGCTCAACCTGAGGGATCGCCTCATACCCCCTGGCTGCTCCACCATCAAGAGTGGTGAGGGTGGGGGGGGCAACACAGCACAGGCAGAAACAGTTGCCCTTCAGGACTGTGTGAGCCTACAGTATGCCTCCGAGAAGAAGGGGACAAGAGGCTTCGAAGGCTCTCTTGTCTTCAATGTAGCACTTATCTAGTCAGTCCGGCCGCGGTGCAGTGGAACAGCTGGGGTGGTTCGCCCTTTTGCTTGAACTAGCGACGATCTTAACTGTGCAACTGACATGCCATTGCAATGACAACAGGAACTGCCCGCAAGCACAGCATTAACATGCTGGACCCCAAGACATGCAACGCAGTGCTCGTGCCCATCATCAGGGGACAGGAAACCACTGCATCCAGAAACGCACAGTCAGAGTGCCATCCTGAAAAGGACGTGCTACACGACTGTGTTGCTCTTTTAGGAAATTTGCAACTATACGCACCGCTCTGGATGACCAAACCCAAAGAACGCTAGTCAAGGGAGAAAGCCCAGTTTGACCCTCTGCCGCTGCATGTACATACTCTGGACAGGGAGACCTCTCTCATACTGCATCTTTACAATTTATTTTTTGTTTAACCAATCTGGATGACCAGATGACTTCCTTAAGAAGTTTTCAGAAATGTTTGTTTAAACTTTCTCTGTTTCAAGAGTTCACACTCTGAGATACATGAGCTCAGGGCTACCGCCTGGTCATGTAGCATGACAGGGGGTTCTAGATTAAATAGGTCTCAAGAGCTCCCTCTTGTAAGAGAGAAAAGGGGGGAGGTGAAGTGGATGGGAGTTTTATCAAAAATGAAGTTAAAAAAATTGGCTTATTTATTGGAGGCTAGAATTAATCTGATTGGTCTGTCAATGATATCTGATTGGACTATGAATATTGATGTGATATGACTGATCAATCATATCATGTGCTCTTCTCAAAATTATTTAGTAAAACTTCATGGCTTGTTCACAGTCAGATTCAAATACAGGGAACACATTCCTCTTTTACTAATCTTCAGTGTAGGTTTGTGCTTTGTTTTTTGTTTAAATAAAATTAGTAAAAAATTCAGAAAATAGATTATATAAGACTATAGTGTTTCGATAAATGTTTTGACATAACATTTTAAAGTGATTGTAAAAGTAATATTTTGTGTTAATGTGTGTTCCCAGTATTGGGTTGCAGCTGGAAGGGCATACGCTGCGTAAAACATAAGTTGGCGGTTCATTCTGCTCTGGCAATAAGGTTATAAGGTTATAAAGGGACTAAGCTGACAAGAAAATGAATAAATGAATGTTTATATGTGTTACAACAATTAAGTTGCCAGCTCTCCCCCAAAAAACATAAAAATGTGTAATCTTTTTAAAAATGTCGTTGTGTAAACATGAAACTTTTAAAATGCAATTAAAAAAAACCTTTGCATTTTGGGCTACATTGTTGTTGTGTAAACGTAGCCTTAAACGTAAACTGTAAGTGAATATTTTCAGTTCCTTCATTTGGAAGTTGAGAGTAAAAGCTCATGCAGTGCATAATGGGATTAAAACCAAAACCAGTACTGAGCACAGATTTGAAAAATCATGATCGGGATACCACCTTCGCCTCATTTTGAGCCTGGAAAAACCCAGAATGCAGTTTATTTTACTTAAAAACAAACAAACAATACAAGCCATGAATACCATTACTAAATACCATTACAAGCCATCTAAGTCAGTAAATTATTGTGATTTTGAATGCATTTTGGGACATACACTCATTAGGATTTGTTGGTTTTAGCATGCTACTGTTAGTAGAGACCCACCTGACAGCCTACAGCTTTCCATTATGTTTTTGAAAGATTTCTATTGCTTTTTTGTTTTTCCTGCAACAGCAGGAATAGCCCGTTTTTGCACATTTAGGTTATTTGTGGTAATTTTGTGGGGGAAAAACACATTTATTATAAATCTGACTTAGAGTGACTGTTTTTAAACTATGTACTTAGTTTGTTTTACTTTTAACCTTACTAAAAGTGTTATTTCCTCTTATAAACTAAAGTGGGCCTAACCATTGTATTTCAGGTTGTTTATTTTAAAAAAAAAAAAAAAAAAAAAGGAAATTATGTATTTGAGGAGATTCGTAGTAGACTTGTAGCACTTCCTTAAAAAATTACAGAAACACTGCCTCATGTGTTTCAAGACCTCCTCAGCTGACATCTGGTGATGTGTTTTCAGCAATTCATCAAAAATTGTCAAATAAATATACCAATGATAATTCTACAGTACTTTGCTGCCACCTGCTGATAAACTTTTTTTTGTCACATGGTACATGTGTGACACCACAAGCCAAGGATTTTTGAATGAAATGTTTTTTTTTTTTTTTTTGCAGTTCAGCAAGGCGACATTTGTGATCTGGACTTCAATTTTAAGTCTAGTGTCTAGTGTTTGAATTAACGAATGAAGAAAGTGGTATATAATACTGTAAATTTTTTATAATCATTCATAAAACATTTTTTAATTTATGGTAATGAAAGAGATTTGAGTGGATTTGAAGAAAAAAATGTTTTTTTAAATATAAATGTGATTAAAATATGTATTTTATATGAAGATTTACGCTATGACAAACTCATTGAAAAACCTTAGCATCATTTCTATGCACTGTTGAGTTGTGAAATACAGTGTAGCCTACATAATACCAAGAGTAGGTTATTTTGGCTCACTCGTGTTAGATAAACTCTGGTAAATAGACAAAATAGGGGTTACTGTGTCAGCTTAATCAAACCATCAACCACATGTTTTTAAGTCCAAGGTCAACATGGCGGGCGTATGAACCTCACTTAAAGGGATAATTCACCCTAAAAGAAAAATTAACACTATTTAACTCACTCTCAAGTGGTTATACTTGTGTTTATATAAATTTCTTCTGTTGGACACAAAAGAATATATTTGATGATAAAACCAATACTATGATGTCAATGGTTGCAGGTTTCCAGCTTTTTTCAAAATATCTTATTTTGTGGTCAACAGAAGTAAGAATAACCATTTGATGCTGAGTAAATAGAATGTAAATCTTTATTTTTTAAGGTCTGTGACCTTAAAAGTAAAAATCATAATCACCTTAAAAATCATAATCACAATTATTTTGGCCATAATTGTAATCACGATAATTCAAAATGATTATCGGTTGAAGTCAAAATTATTCGCCCTCCTGTGATTTTTTAAATATAAATATTTCCCAAATTATGTTTAACAGAGCAAATAATTTTAACAGTATTTCATAATATTTTTTTATTCTGGAGAAAGGCTTATTTGTTTCATTTTGGCTAGAATAAAAGCATGTTTAAATATTTTGAAACCTATTTTAAAGGGGAGATGAAGCACGCATTCAAGTTTACCTTATTTTGTACATTGGATTCCACTTTATTGAAAATATATTAAACAAACTTGATTAATGTAACCATTTAGATGAAACGGCATGTTTTACTATAGATTTTAGACCTAGGGCGCAGCCATCTTGAAATGTCGCTGTGTTTGACGTCACAGGGTTGGTTTAGTTCCCTCCGCTTAACAGATACAGTGGAAGGAGACTGTAAAGCCTAATTTAACCTAATGCGTGAAGTTGTGGGTGTGGAGCTGGTGCGAATACAAGCATCAGATGTGTGTCTAATGTAAAAGTATATATATTTATTCTATTTTTCTTTTTTCCCCTTTTAATTACTAATCATTTGATGCACTTTAATGCTCTCTGTATTACGCTATAATCATTAGAAGCCAAAATCGAAATTGAAACCGGATTTTCGATTAATTGTACAGCCCTAACAGTCAGGCTGTGTTAAGTGAAGTTTATTTATAAACTAGTTTCGAGAGGGTCATATGCTTGTGATTGCTTGCAGCCGGCCCCACATTATTCAATTTATGATTCACCAATCAGTTGATTCCTTAGCCACTATAAATAGAACTATAAACAGCCATCTTCGTTTTGAAGAATCCCCCCCTCCACCCCTACTCCTCCTCCCTTCCTTAATAAGTGGCACGGTGGCTCAGTGGTTAGCACTGTTGCCTCACAGCAAGAATGTCACTGGTTCTAGTCCTTACAATGCCAGCTGACTTTTTTGTGTGGAGTTTACATGCTCACGTGGGTTTCCCCCGGGTATCCCGGTTTCCTCCCGCCATCCAAAAACATGCAACTTAAGTTAATTGACTAATCCAAATTGGCACCATAGCCATGCTCCTGGTAAACAGTTATCTCTTAAGAGCAATCCCTATCTGTTCATTAGTTACTACAGCAGGGGAGTTCTCAAGATCTACCTGAGCTCAAACTCCCCTCTCGCCTTGCAAACGGGAGGAAGCCCCTGGTTCAAGAATCTTATGAGCTCAGGGCTCTCTCCCAGGACAGGATGCCAAACAAGCTTTAAGAAACTTGTATCGAAACATTTGAAACGGGAAGGCAGTCACCTCATAAGTCATGTTTGGATTCAAACTTTTGAAATTGGAGAGGATTATTGAGTGTCTTTGTGATGGATGATTTGTTACTTGCTGTTTTATTTATGTTTCATGTTGGTATTAGCTTTTTTTTTTTTTTTTGCATATTTTCAAAATTCTTACAGCTTATAATCAAGGCTTAATGACAATGCGAAAATGCAGGTCTCATGTCCAAACCTATCGGTCCAAACTAGTACACAGGGTAGTTCATTTTGCCATGTTTGTGTTGGAATTAATGAATACTAAGAAATCAGCATAAACTCTGTCAGCTCCATCAAACCATCATACATCATTGTTTATATAAGATAAGTTATAATCTGTTTTCATGAAATTCTCCTGTTTGCCTTATGTGAAATAATCCTACAACAGAAATTATCTTTTATTATTTGTGAATGAAGATCTTGAATAGTGTTTAAATTTCTATATGCAGTGCAGTAGAGTTGTGCAATGACTTTAGTATAAGGGCAAAGAGTAGTGTGTTTTGGCACACTTGTATTGAAAATCACACATAAAACAGATTCTCCCTAACTTCAGCAGCAGCAGAGGAGCTGTGAATGAGCAGACATTAATATCCTACTCTGTTTTATATCACCTCCTGTTCTTTTCCTACAGGTATGTTCCATTCATTTCTAACTAAAAAAAAAATACATTTAAAAAGATACAGAAACAATGTACAATGCATTGATATTTAGCAAATTCTGTAGATTTTTCATAATAAACTTTTTAGTGGAATAATCCAACAGAATCTCACGCCAATTCATATTTTTCATTTACTAGCCTTTTTTTATTCATTTGTACACTGTTAACAATTTTCTTTAGAATCTAAAATAACTTATGCTGTCAATTTTACAATGCAATTTAAAATACAGCAATGTACTCCATAACTGTCCTACAGTAAAATTCAGTTCATGTTACAGTTCAGTTCACCAATAACTTACTGTAAATTAAATACAGCAAAATACTGAATTTATATTTACAGCACTTTTCCTTAGTATGGATTTACAGTTTTGTATAGACCTTTACCCTAAAAATACAGTAATTTTTACAATGCTACATTGAAATACAGTTACATGCATAACTGTCCTACAGAAAAATTCAGTTCATATTACCGTTCAGTTCGGCAGTAAGTTACTGTAAATTATTTACAGCAAAAATATGGTATTTACATTTACAGCACCATTTACCTTCCTTTGTATGTATTTACAGCATTGTTTATCTTTACTGTAAAAATACAGTAATTTTCACAATGCAACATTGAAATACAGTAACATACTGCATAGCTGTCCTACTGTGTAATTTACAAAAGTTGTTAACAGTGTAGCTATGATCTAATTTGGATATTTCTGTAAGACTTGTTTATGCACTAGTGAATGAGGGGGTTTAAAGGCACAACTTCTTTAAAATATTAGCCACTTCTGATATTGCATGAAATAAATTGGGCTGGAATATCCAATGATTTATGTGTTGAGACAGGCTGTAATTTTGAGGTTTTCAAAACAATAACGGATATTACTAATCTTATTATTATTTGAATAAAGTGTAATGTATTGTCTAATTTGTTGTGTTGTAGTTATCGCTAAAGTGTATGTATAGGTATCAAATGCTAACACGAAAATTCCATGTAACCTCTGTGCTTTAATGTGAAAAACAAAGGGTTAGTTCAAGCAAAATATAAAGTTCTGTCATCATTTGGCCTACTCACCAATTACTTGCTTATACCTGTTTGAGCTTCTTTATTTTGTTGAAGACAAACGAAGACATTTTGAAAATTTTGGAATCCCTTTATCCATTGACTTTCATAGTATTTGTGATTCCCACTATAAAGTCAATTGTACAGGTTTTCAGCATTCTTCAAAATATATTTTTCATTTGAAAGAAAAATGAAACTCATAAGGTTTAAAATGAGGGTGACTAAATGATCAGTACATTTTCATTTTTGGTGAACAATACCTTTAACCCTCAGAGAAAAAGATAATTTCCACACACAAATTAATATTCCTCATTTGGCTGTTAATATTTTTTTTAAATTATTATTCGTTTTTTGTAGCTCCAAAGCCAATTTTGTTTTTGAAAAACCCAATATGTTACATTGACTCATAAGATGGTTACAGAATAAACCATGTTACTTTTTTTACAGGACAAATATCTTCAAGAATGAGAATCCCGGTGTTTCTGCTGTTTTTGGTGTTCACCATGTGTTCAATTCAGCTAGTTCCTGCTATGCCTGCTAGTGAGTCAACTAACAATTATTTTTAGATTATTTTATGAATGTGATATAATATACTTATATATCATTAAACTACTACATTTTCTAGGCTGGATTTCACAGCATTGGGTAATTCTCATTTAAAACACTTCTGTTAAAGCATAACTAAATGTTCACTTTTATCATTTGACTGTGTGTGATGATTACAACATCATTATCTCAATAAATAATCTGTTAACATGGTCTTAACAAAGCAATGTGCTTTTGCATGTCAAAAAAACAAATAATTAGGTCAGTGTTACAATGTTAAAGGGCACCTAGGTTACCCCTTTTTTTAGATTTAATATAAGTGCTTTGCATCTCCAGAATGTGTCTGTAAAGTTTCAGCTCAAAACACCCATCAGATTTTTCATTATACCTTTTACAAGATTCTATTTTATACATTTTTACACTAGGGGGCAGTTTTGTTGTACTGCGCCTTTAAGGCTAGTCCTCCCCGCCTACCATTTCTACGTGCCTTTCTGCATGCCTTAATCTCCACCCTCGGATGCGTCAGACAACAGACAGACTTAAAGGAAGATCTCACGTAACATTTGTGAGAAATACTACAGTAAGAACTTTACCAATGAGTATTTGTTGTGGAGCTGCATCGATGATAAATATAAATAATATAACCTATATAACAAAAATAAACCTGATTTAACGTCCACAAACCAGGATTGAAGTGTCTTCCTTTATAATTGTTCTGACACACGGCTGTGCTGATGAAGTAAAGCTGAAGTAATCACTGTACTTTATTACACACATGCACTGTTTAAAAACATTTGAAATGTGAAACTTACTCCTGATCACATTTGATCATAATTTATGATCCTAGCAAACTTAGCAACCTTAGTACCTTTCATTCCCAGTTGCTTTGCGCACGTCTGGTCTTGTTAATATGATTATACAAATGACTACTGGGACATGTTAATACGCGCAGTTGTCAATCATTTTGGTGGGCGGGGGGATCGCACTCCTATGTCAAGTTGCGGTCGTTTTAAAAACCCCTTCAATTGGTCCATCCATTTTTATGTTGTTCAATTAAAAAAGAGAACGGGATGTGTTTATATCACCCCAAAATGACAGTCTATACACTATATCTACACATATGTCTGTCCAAACAGCTTGAAAAGTATATTTTTCACCATAGGTGCTCTTTAAATTTCACTTTTGTGCCTCCATTTGGACATTTTACATGACATTATTTTACTGATCATTGACTTATACAAGGCTGTTAAATAATCTCCTTAGCCTTTAATGGATGGACAATTGCTTTATTTTCTTTTTTTAATAAACAACATTTTTAATATTAAACTATTTTTGTTTTTCTTTTATAATAGTTTTTTAGGGCAAGGCATCAATTTAAGAGATCAGGACTGATGCTGGTAAAAATAGAAAAAATAATTAAAATTTTTCACTAGGTCAAATTTAGATCACTCACTCACTTAGTTTAATATTCCATAATAATTTCAAATAAAATTCCTTATTATAATTTTTTTTTCAGTTCCAGAGTTTTGTTGCATCAATTTTATTGACTTCCCAATTCCAGCCAACAAAATTGTGAGTGCTGTGATAACGCCTTCACGTTGCTCTTCAAAAGGCATTATGTAAGTACTTAACTAAAATCTATGATTTAGAAAAAAAAATCTTAAAAATTTGTGGCAGATGATAGAAAAATTGATTTTATGTATGCCAGCAATGACCTAAAATCTGAATGTAAACCTTTCTGTGCTCAGGGTTACTACACCAAGGACTCAATTTTGTGTAAAACCAGATGAGGACTGGATAAAGCCTATAATGGAGAAACAGTATAAACGCTAATAGGAAAAGGCAATTTTGTATTCTATTTGTATGTAATTCTATGTAATCACGTATTCTGTAATCTAAATCGCATCTTAATGAAATAAAAGACCAACATTTGATTTTTTGGACTTGTGTGTTTGTACATTAAAAGCAAATTTTGATACAGGAGATACAGTGCAGCTCAGTCGATATAATGCTTTATAAAGTCAAAAATTAAGGATGTAGCATGTTTTTGTAATTTGCCATTTAAGACAATACTGTCTTGATGATTTTTTTAAATACTTCATGTTCTTCTAAACACTCACTGCATCTTCACAAGATTTTATTTCTTGGTACTTATTCTCAATGCCTGAATTGACCTGGGGAAATTTTCAGAAACGTTTGTTCCTCCTTTCTCTGTTTGTTGGACTCGTTCACTGTCAGATTCAAAAATAGGGAACACATTCCTCTCTTACTAATCTTTAGTCTAGGTCTGTGCTTGAATTTTTTTTTATTTAATAATTTACAATAGTAGAAATTTAATATTTATTTATGTAAAAATAAATTATATAAGTCCAAAGTTTCTCAATGAAAATCTTTGTCTAACTAAACATTTTAAAGGGCGCCTGTATTACCCCTTTTGCAAGATGTAAGACAAGCCTGCTTCTATTGCGTTACATCAGAAAAACAGCAGTCATAGAGATAGACACTAATGAAGCTGAAATATAGCTTGTTCGTTAAAAATGCATAAAGTTGACTTCATGTATTTGTGGTGGAGTTTATTCAAGCCTTTCTGAAAAGATGAGTCTCACACAAATGCCGTTTGTAGTACAAACACACATATGTGCGTTTACTGACCATACGGCTGTGGTGATCATAGTGGTTAAGAATTACATGGTGATTTTACTGTCTTTATTACAAACATGCTCGGTTTTAAAAACATTTTAACTTATAGAACTTTAAAAAATGACAGAGAGTTGAAACAGATTTTTGGTGTTATATTTGTGTATCCATGTTATTAGAGAAACATGCCACATGCCTGTTTCTCACTTTCATCACTTCAGTGAGCGCGGAAAACCGCACTACATCACATTGCAGCAGGCCTCAAAATCATTAGGATTTCGGTCCTATTTTACCGTCAGAACATTTTTAAAAAGAGACTTGTTGAGTTTATATCCCTCCAATATGACAGTGGACACACTATACGTGTGCGCTCAGCCACTAACTGTGAAATTAAACCACTTTTCCTGTCATTACATTTGCATTTTAGTTCTGTGAAGCAGTTTAGCTGGGTTATGCTGTGAAAATGCTGGGTTCTACACAATCCCTTCATGTTGTTCCAGCACAAATCAATTAAGTATTAACTTAATGTGTTTACAAAATATATTACAAATTTAAGTGTTACAAAAATTGTTATATTAATGTTATATTTAAAATAAAAACAGCATAAACACTAATAGGAAAGGTTAATTTTGTATTCTATTTGTATGTAAATCTGTGCAATGTATGTTAGCATAGAAACATGGCGCCTGTCAATCACTATAAAGTTGGGCGGGGGAAACCGCGCTCCTACGTCACGTTGTGTTATGTGGGCCTTAAAATCACTGGGATTTGGGACCTATTTTGATGTCAGATAATTAAAAATTACACTTCTTCTGTTTATAACACTTTAATATGACAGTGGACACACTATACCTTAACACAGTTCTGTCCAAACATCTTACAAAAGTTGATTTTCATCAAAGGTGCTTTAAAGATACTGGGTCCCACACAATCCCTTCAGGTTCTTCCAACACAAATCAATAAAGTGTTAACTTAATGTGTTTTTATTTTATTTTATTATTATTTTTTTTTTACAGATTTAAGTGGATTGAACATTAATAAATCAGTAAAGTTGCCACCACTCCCAATTAAAAACAGACAAAATTCAAGAATTGGGTTGTTTCCGCTAATTTTAAATAAGTTTGAACAAACAGCAAATACTTTGAGTGTATACTGACTTTCCTATTAAAATGGAAAAAAAAATACAAACAAGAACTGCTTGAGTTTTCTCAGAGCATGTCTTGTTTCTGTGGGCAAATAGTGGGAGTAGTGGTTTAGTCAAACCACAAAACTAATGAATCAGGGCCTTTACTAACACTGTACAAAAATGCTGGCTTCTACACAATTGATTTGTGTTGGACAACATGGAGAAATTAAGTTAACTTGTGCATTTTTACAAATTTAAGTGGATTAAACATAAAACAATTAAGTTGTTTCCACAAATACTCAAGAAGTGTGTTGTTTCAGCTCATTCTAAACATATACATTAGTTTGACCAAACAGCAGATGTCTTTTTTGGTGTATAAATGAATATTTCAAGGTTTAGCAAATTTTTTTTATGATAGCAAAATGTTTATATGATCATAAATTCTTCATATTTAGTGCAGAATATGACGGTCCTGAAAAGAGGAAGTTGTGTGTTGTATTCTTAAAGCTTGTTTTCAGTGAATTGTGAAAGAAAAGTACCTTATATGTGCGCAATAAAGCAGAAAAAGGATCCGGAAAAGAAAGAGCTAAAAACGAAATTCTTATTCTTCAGAAATGGATTTACATGGATGTGTTTGTGAGGAATATCTTTCAGATGTGTATATAAGGAGATGCTCAGACCTCATTCTAGACACAACAGATTTAAGATCTTCAAGCTCTACAATACATCTCCTGATTCCTTCTGTGATTGAGAAGAAACGTCTAAAAAAATGAGAAGCCTGATGTTTCTGCTGGTCCTGGTGCTCTTCTGCTCTTTGCAGGACACTTCAAGCGGTGAGCGCCCTTTATTATCTTGAATATAAGGTTCTCTGATTGTTTTTCTGGTTGATGATCACTTGTGCATTTTGTTTTACAATATAGACCAAGATACAAGATGTTATCTCTTTTTTAATGTGCAGATTTGTGATATTATGCATGTCTTCATGTTTCAGCTATGGAAGCAACTATTTCAGCAAATTCAGTCTGCTGTGAAGGGTTCACTCATAAAAAGATCCCTCTGAGCAAGATAGTGTCTCACCACTTGACCACCAGTAACTGTGCCAAAAAATTCATTGTGTGAGTGTCATCTTACACATTATTTCATTTTTAAACAACATTCAATTGCAATTCAATTTAAATCCTGGTATGTGATTTTCCTTCAGGTTTACAACAAAAGCAGGAAAAAAGATCTGTGTAGATCCAGAGAACACCTTTGTGAAAAGACAAGTCGCTGAGCTAGACAGCAGAACACGAGTCTAAAAGCCTTTATTTGAACTGTACTTCATCATATGTTTGACCTTTTGTACTATTTCTGATGTGATTTATTGTGAAAATAATTTATGAGATTGGTTCAGTTGTTTTAATAAAATATAAATAACTTCATCATCATGTTGTAATTCTTATAATGTTTTATTTTAATTCATTTTTTAAAGATTTCAAAAGACTAACATTAAAGAATATTTAAAAACATATTCTAACATATAACATATAATTACATCTATTTTAGCAAGAAATTTCCTGATTCTTTTTTCATTTTAGTTAGAAAACTTGTAATGTTATAATGTTATAATAAAAAATAATATTTCCCCAAACTACAAGAAGTGTTTTTATAAATTATATTTGTGTAGGATAGAAGATAAATTAATGGAAAATGTCAGAAGACTAACATTAAAGAAGCAACATAATTGTAATAATTTTATCAACATATTTCCCCTCTAATATAAATAGAAATTTCCAGATTTTTTGCATTTATTTATTTATTTTTTGGACCATAGTATTAATAATAACAGTGTAGTAATAAATATTATTACACTGTTAGTGGAAAATCAGGGTTAAGCCAGATAAAGCTTTGAATCAACCCTTTTGACTAGGTAGTTGATGTGATAAAAAGCAGTGTTGAAAACTGGGAGCCTCTAGGCTGCCTTGAGACTTTTGCATTTTTAGAAGATTAGAAGATTAATGAGTCTAATGTCTTAAACCATTGATCTGTGGGTGTATCTGAGGCTATATTTTTATGTTCATGAAGATTTCTGAAACTGATGAAAGTACAATAAAAGAATAAATATTAAGCAATAAATGTATAATACAATTACAATATAGAACGAGAATTTACACTTGAATCCAGACACAATGGCACAAAATATCACAAAATATTAATTATTACAAAGTGTTTTTGTAAAAAAAGTTATTGATTGGAAATTTGGCATCAAAGAGGTTTGAAAAACACAATAAATAAATTAGACAAATGAATAAATGAACATATATAAAGTTAGTTCCTTCATTAGAGGATCTAAACACACTACACTGTTTTTGATCTTGGAGGGAACAGAGGAAAGTCTCTGATTGACTTTCCAGTAGGTGGTGGTAATGAACTTTCTAGTGTTCAACTAACCGTTAAAAAGACAAAAGAAGAAGAAAAGAACAATTTGCATACTCCAACCAAAACAAAAGAAAAAGACGAAGAAAAATAAACATCTAGAAGAATGAGAAGCCCTACGGAACCCCGGAAGAGACAAAAGAGACAAAATGGTTGTTGAAGTTTAAAGAATGAAGTTTGTTGGTTTCCCCTTCAGGTTTATGACAAGAACAGGAAAAGAGATCTGTGTAAATCCAGAGAACGCCTGGTTTAAGAGCTTTTTTACTAAACTAGACAGCAGAATGAAAACCTAAAAGAAGCTAGAAAGTATCTTTTTGAACTTTACAGCATACATTTAACCCATATATTACCTATGTGTGTGATTATACAGCAAAAATTATATATTGTCAACTAATTTTATGTGAATGATTGACTTGTTTATAAACATTCTAAATATAAACTTTTAATTCATTTCTTTTTGAGCGTGTTTGTTATTATTCTTAAATATCTTAAGGAGGTTAATGTTTTAAGTTTGTTATCTAAACCTATATTTAAATATAAATACTTATAAAAACCATGAGAATAGAAAATAAAACTATGTAAAGCCTCTTGTTCACTGCTGCAGAAATAAACCACAAATCTGCAACTGTAAAATAGATGTTTTCTGAAATATCTGTATCCTAAGTAAATTTCACAGTAATTTTTTTTTTCAGTTTTCAGATTGTCAGCAAAATGAAACTTTTGGTCATTAATTTTCCACAAGATATAAAAAGTGGTTTGACTTGTACTTTCACAGTAAACAAGCAATCAAAACAAGAAGTACTGTGTTCCAGTAACATTAAGCCTTTATTTCAGACATTTGAGATTGAGATTTAAGTTTTCCTGGTGTTTTTATGAAATACAAGCTTCAAATCAATCCAGATGTGCTGAATCATTCATAAAAGAACTCGGATGATCTTTTCAAGTTCATCCTTTTTATCTGTTATATTATATACCCAGATAGTTACAAATATGAATTCAAATGACCACTGACTGTGCAAATACTCAAACACTGTAAAATATAGCTGTTAATCAACAGTTTCCGTATTTTATGATTCACAAGGGTTTTCTGTTTATTTATGGTTGTGAATTGCATAATGGGTACTTGATCTTTGTCCACTTTTGATGTTAAAAATCCAACTCTACAGTTTAATAAAGTGACTTTTATTGACAATTTTAGTAACTTAAAAATAGTATATCTGCGGGCCCGGGGTCTTAAAAAGTGTTATGTCTTAAATCTCAAAAGCTGAATTTTAGGTTATAGGTCTTAAACCTTTGTTAACAGGCATTAATTTTCTTTTGTTCATGTATAGCTACCCAATCTGACTGTTAACACCCATACAATCACCAACAATCCCAACTTTTTATTTAAAAACAGCATTTAATTACTTTCCTTACAGTAACTTTTATTTAAAAGTTTATTTACTGCTGAGGATACTGACCTAACCTATATTTTTTATTATTATTAAATGTATTAAATTATGATATTTTTAAAAATCTTTTCCAACCTGGATATTCAAGAAAAGAAAAAAAGTCTAAAATTTTATTCATAATGGTCTTAATGATGACTTCAAAAGTCTTAAATTTACCCTGGTGAAACCTGCAGAAACTCTGAGTATGTATAAAAAGTTATATATAGAAAAATAAGTGTAAAATACAACACCAACACAGACAATAAATCACTTTAAACTATTCAAAATGTAAATAAAAGTAACTTTTTTGAACTTCAATTTCGAGGTTAAAAGTTATTGGAAAAAAGATCAAGGTCTCATAATGCAATTCAAATGCATAAATAAATGGTGGGAAATAAAAACATAAATCAAAAAATGCAAAAAACTGCTGATTTATGGATATGTTTTACAGTAATATCGACATAATGTATGAATGAAAAACTGTTGTTGAAAAACTCTTGCAAACTGCTGACAAGGAACATTTAGACCTTATTGTCTGACTTTTTATGATGCGCTGGGACATTTTTCACTGTAACAAAGTTTTGTATCATTATTATTATTATTATTATTATTATTATCATTCATATATATATATACATATGTGTGTGTGTGTGTATATATATATATATATATATATATATATATATATATATATATATATATATATATATATATATATATATTAATTATTGTTGTTGTTGTTGTTTATCATATTTATATATATAATAATAATATTATTCATATTTATTATTATATCATATTTATCATATCATACTTATTATTATTATTATTATCATTATTATTATTGTTTTGTATTTTATAACTTGTGTATAAAATTATTTTTACTAAACATGCATACTCCAAAAATAAGTTATAAAAAATAGAAACTGACTGTTAAGTTCTCTGTTTGTTCTGTTAGTTATTATGTTTTGTTGACATGTTATGACACAACAAATCTGATTTAAAAACAGTTCACTTAAGTATACTTCTGCCCTAAAGCATGGTTTAATTCAGTGCTACAGTGTGAGTAAAACCGACAAACAGAGAGAGGAAAATGTACTTTTTACAGAATATTGCAGAGCAAACTTCAAACAGCGCTTTAAATGAAAGTAAAAATTACTCAATTAAAAAAAACAATGTTACATTTACATAAACGAGTTAAGCAAATCTGACTTGTACACAAAGAAATTCACATATGAAAACCTTGTAAAACCTCCAAAACAGTATACTTTTTTGGTCCCACTTTATATTAAGTGTCCTTAACTATTTTGTACTTCAAAATATAAATACAATGTACTTAATGTGTTTATAATGTACGGCAAAACACTTCTGAAGCTATTGAGGTGGGATAAGGTTAGGGAAAGGTTTGGTGGTATGGGTAGGTTTAAAAGTGGGTTAAGATGTAAGGGACTGTCAAAGGTGTCATTAATTGCAAATGTAATTACATATAGCCAAGTATTGGTACAATGTAAAAACGTATTTACACTATAATCACATTGTACGAGATTATTGGTTTCAGTGTGAGTACATACTAGTTAAGGCCACTTAATATAAATTCCTATGCAGATAAAGGGTGAGACTTTAGTACTGACCACTAATCATGGTCTAAGAATTTATATGTGAGCAATGGCTCTAATATTTAGTGTACAAAATTCTGATTTGATTATAAAATCTTCAGATTTAGTGCTGAGCATGACAGAAAAGAGGAAATTGCATGTTGTATTCCTAAAACTATTTTTCAGTTAATTGTGGGGGGAAAAAGAGGACCTTCTACTTTAACATGAACCATAAAGCGGAAAAAGAATGGGGAAAAGGAAGAGCTACTCCACTCCTCAGAAATGGATTTACATGAATGTGTTCATGAGGAATACCTCTCATGTGTATATAAGGAGACGTTTAGACCTCATTTAGAACACATCAGCTCTGAAATCTTCAAGCTCTCCAAAACATCTCCTGATTCCTTCTGTGATTGACAAGAAACGTCTAGAAGAATGAGAAGCCTGATGTTTCTGCTGGTTCTGGTGCTCTTCTGCTGTGTACAAGAGACTTCATGTTGTAAGTGCTCTTTTTCATTTTGAATATAATGTTCTCTGATTATTTTTATGGTCGGTTTTTTATTTGTTGAATTTTGTCTTACAATATAGACAACAAGATGTTTTGTCTTTTTTAATGTACAGATTTCTGATATTGTGCATGTCTTCATATTTCAGCTCCAATTCCAATAAATTCAGCAAAATCAGTCTGCTGTGAAGCGACCACTCATAGAAATATTCCTCTGAAGCAGATAATGTCTTACCAGTGGACCACCAGTATGTCCTATAAAAGCCATTGTGTGGGTGTCATCTTAAACATTATTTCAAACTGTAAAGCCAACCTGAATATTTGAAACCTAAAATTGTCTTATTTCTACTTTTTGTTGTTTTTTCATTAGGTTTAAGACAATTGCAGGCAGAGAGATCTGTGTAGATCCTCAGAACACCTTGGTGAAGAAACAAGTTGCTAAACTGGACAAAAGAAGATCTACTACAGCTTTATCTCCTAAATCCACATCTACAACAGCAGAAACTCCAGCAGCCACATCTGGTACAACATCTTCTTCTGAATCCACATCTGCAAAATCATCTCCAGCATCCACATCTGCTACAGCATTATCTCATGAATACACATCTGCGTCAACAGTAACCTTTACTACAGCAGAGTCTCACAGCACCTCAGTTTAGATGAATCTGCAGTTATTTGAAAACATTAATTTTTATATTGCATATTCACTCTATTTCTAATGTATATTTGAACGTCTAATATTTAAAAAAATTGTTTACGCTAAATGGAATTTTGTTCATCTTTTTTAATAAAACAAGCAAGCATCATCATCTAGTGATTTAATGTCTTCTTTTCTGGATTTCCTGTAAGCATCTCTTTCTTTAAACTGCATTTGCATGTATTTTTCATTACACTTTTTAAAAAGGCTGTTTTTAAATAGGAACAGACACAACTATCTGACAGTTTTTTTTTTAGATTACAAACACTCTGCAGCACAGTAAAGACACTTGGGTTCAGACTACACAATTGTGTCTATTACAAATCACTATCATATTTCATTCTATTAGTTTTGACTCCTAAATCCTAAATTCTTGGTAAGTTACAGACAAGAAACACATCACACCATAAAACAATAAATACAACAAAAATAAACAGTTGTACTTGTGATTCACAGGTGTTTTCCATTTAAGCTTTTTACGTAGTTCATGACTTCTTTATTTTGGTCATTTTAGTAGTTTGAAACAATATATTGTACAAGAAACATTATATATAGAAATAAATGCCTAAAATAACAGTACTAGTAACCTTATTCAATATTTGTACCCTAATATACATGACCAACCCAGACAATATCATTTCTAAAATATAAAACCTGTCAGTAAATGTTGCTGTGTTAAATTATAGAGCATCAAAAGTTGTCTAAGCAGTGGTCAAGGTCTCATAAATTAGTATGGAAAAATATATTCATTCATTTTCTTTTCGGCTTAGCCCCTTTAATTATCTGAGGTCACCACAGCAGAATGAACCACCAACTTATTCAGCATATGAAGAGCATGCCATTCCAGCTGCAACCCATCGCCGGGTAAACATCCGTATACACTTATTCACACACATACTCTACGGCCAATTTAGCTTACCCAATTCACCTATACCACATGTCTTTGAACTTGTGGAGGAAACCCACACAAATAAGGGGAGAACATGCAAACTCCACACTGAAATACCAACTGACCCAGCCAAGGCTCGAACCTGTGACCTTCTTGGTATGAGGCTGGGTACTTTTGGCTAATTCTGGGTACTTTGATTTTAGCAGAATACATCTGGGAGAAAGGAAGGAACGAACGAACAAAAGAAAGAAAGAAAGAAAGAAAGAAAGAAAGAAAGAAAAAAGAAAGAAAAAATAAGAAAGAAAGCATACTTTTGGAATTTTTAATAACATGTGTTACACTCTCAAAAAATTTGTTGAACTATTTTAATTTTTAAAAACATTTACAAATGTTTTTTTTAATGTTTACTTGTAGATACCAGTCACGGCAAAATGTGTGATGTTATCAAGAAGGCAAAACAATAGTAACTACTGATTACATTCTTTTTACAATTTTTGTATATAAAATTTAATTTTATAATTTTTATATTATATTAAAGTTGCCATGTGAACTTCCTAATTAAATAATATTAATAAATACATAGAAAAAATACTTTAATTGTATCAATAATTATATATATTTGACATTTTAAAATGTACTTACAATAACCATTAACATAAACAATCTAACAAAAAAATCCCTTAATAGTAAAATATGTGTCCTAATAGTGTTTTTTTAGCAACATGCCACACATATACATATCTGACGGCATCTAAAAAACATAATGTGTTTTAGAGTTTCATGACCCTTTAAAAATCTGGTTAATTCAGGTTTAATTCAAACATTTAATATCAGGTTTTTTTGTGTAGCTCAGCATTTAAACAAACAAACAAAAGGTTATGTAAATTTAGAAATGATAATCCCTGTTTGAGGGATTCGCCCCAACCTTCCCCATCATTTGTCCATGTCTTCTCATATTGGTTGGATAGGCCCCCTATGCCCTACTAGGCCAAAGTGTGCCAAAGGTCTAGTGTGCCAAAGTTGGCCCATGGTAACCTTTAATTTGGCCCCTAGTTTGGGCATCTCTAATTTAGAGCATTTATTTTCAGACTATGACAGTGAAAAATAACAATAAAAACATATGTTTATAACAGTTTTTTTCAGTTACTTTGGTGCATTTCTCACAACACTATTTACATTTGCACAAAAGTTAATGCATTTCTCAAAACAATTAGTGCAAACTGCAAAACCTAGCTGATAACCTGCCAAAGTGTGCCACTTGCTTAAAATGGATTGTTACTTCCTCAAAAGCAAGTATCCATGTCAATGAAAGTGTCAGTGTCATCAAAATGAAAAGTCCTGACATCATTGTTTATGAACAGGATAGTCAAATGACTGTCATGTTTTTATTATGTTAACTCTCTACATTTTTTATATGCGAAAAAGTAAGATTTTGGTGACACGTCCTGAAAATGCTCAAGACAGCACTATTTGCAACAGTTTTTCTCAGTCGCTTTGGTGCATTTCTCACAACACTATTTAAATTTGCACAACAGTTAATGCATTTCTCAAAACAATTAGTCCTTTGTGCACATCATAGTAGCAGTTTCTCATTCCTTCTAACAAATTGCAAATGCTTTTGAACATGCATCAGTTGCTTTTATACAACTCTCTGCTGTTTATAGCATTATCATTTGCTTATGTCATGTCAGTCAAAATGAACTAAACTTGTGAATGCTGAATAGTCATTCCATATAAATCTAATGCCTAGTTCAGACTGCGTGATTTTAGCCCCGATTTTGGCTCGCCGACAGGTTTTGAGAAATCGCCGACAAATGCCTGACATCACAGGCAAATCGGTGCTCGTGCACGTGAGTGACAATCACACAATATGAACGATCAAAGACGCGATCTGAGAGAATCGCCGATGAGTCGCCGATGCCTGTGAGATATTTGGCGTGCTAAATATCTGGAGCTGTCGGCGATTCAAATCATGCCGTGTGAATTGAGTTTTGACTGAAAATAACCCATGAAATGGAGGAAAAACTAGTGGAGGTTTGACAGGACTGAGGACCAACCGTGTCTGTTTGACGTTTCATATACAGAAAGAAATTAGATTAATATTAGCGTTGAGGAGTAATGGCTCATTCCCTTTAAACCCAGGTGAGCAAACATGTACATGTTCTACCCCATTAAAGGCTTCTTTCTCATTGTGTAGTTAATAACAAAAGATATACTACATGTTTTTGGCTGTGAGACGTAGTTTGGACAAAGTTGTCGGCGATTCTCCCTATAGTAAAGTCATGCAATGCAGTGTTCACAAAGCAGCGACGAAACGCTAGCCCAGATAGTCATGCAGTGTGAAAACATCTGTGACTGTGACACGACTAGTTGGAAAACCATGCAGTCTGAACTCGGCTTAAGAGTCCTCCTTGACTCTTGAACCTTGAATTTACTTTGCACAATATTTCCTTCATAAAGAGGGTAAAATGCTGAGAGATCTATGACACAACACCATCACCTTCAGTCACGTCCTCTTTTCTTCTTATAAGTGCTCCATCTGAATTATCTGGGTTAAAGTTTTACTTTCAAGTCATTATTTGTTTTTCCTAAAACTTTAACAGGCAACAAGTAGTGTATAGACAAAATACAGTAAAGTAACTGTAATATAGAGTGGAGTCAGCTTTGCTGCTCATGAATGAACACGTCTCCTTTGAATATTTGCAGCTGTGAAAGTTAATACTAAGAAGTAAAACAGAAGTAGAACGCGGATGAGGGAAGGAAACAGCTCAAACCTGTCAACACGCTAATCCTCAGAAGAGCATTTACTTGAACAATAATAAACCTACTCAGTAGATCAGTAACAAAAGGTTATTCTGTGAAATAAATATGTTTTCCACTGTCAAACTTTCAGATTGGTTTCTTTTCAAGTCAAGTTTATGTGAAATTAGAAGATTAGGGTGGCATGGTGGCTCAGTGGTTAGCACTGTCGCCTCACAGCAAGAAGGTCTCTGGTTTGAGTCCCTGCTACAATTGGATTTAATAAGTTGGCCGTAGTGTATGTGTGTGAATGAGAGTGTATGAGTGTTTCACAATACTGGGTTGCAGCTGGATGAGCGTCCGCTGCATAAAACATATGCTGGAATAGTTAGCGGTTCATTGAGCTGTGGCCGCCTCTGAAATAGAGACTAAGCTGAAAGAAAATGAATTAAATCTTGATTATTCACTCAATCTGTTTTGATTATTCACTCAAACTATTTAGAAAGTGCTAGTAAATTTAGCTAAATAATTACAAAAAAGCTAATAAAAATGAATAAAATATTAAATTCTGAAGTAGAAAAACTCTATTTTAATAAGATAAATTTTACTACTGTTCAATTGAAAAGGAATAGATTCATTTAGACTATTACTTAGGGTATTTATCACTGAATACTGATTTACACACACAACTGTTGTTGTTATTATTAATTTATCAGTATTTATTCATCCTCCGTTTTTTCCTTATTCTCTTTACCAGGTAAAATTGTTATTATTTTATTATCAGTATTTATTTATTCATCTACAGCATGATTATTACCTCTATCATTGGTTTGGTTTAAATTTTAGAATAGTTTGGCAAATAAATTGCTTAATAATAATAATAAAAACCAAATGATAACAGCTACTCCCATATTTAATTGTCAATCATGAAACATTACAACCAATATCGCGACAGCTAGCTCTCTCATGGTCATCCAATAAAGCTAAGCAGGACTTTGCCTGGTCAGTACCAAGATGGGAGACCACATGGGAAAGCTAGGTTGCTGCTAAAAGTGGTGTTAATGAGACGTGTATGTACAATTAGTGTTTTTCAGCCAATGAAAAACTTCCGAAAGCTTTATGTGACTATTTTTCAATTTCACTTGGTTCCTTTTACAGCATCCATTATGTAATATAATTCAAATATAATCAGTTAAATAGACTTAAGCATCCATTTGGTTGTTAAATAATAAGAGGCAGGGCATCATCATTAGCAGCAGGCTATAGCGCAAAAACTTCATTCAAATTAAGGGAGATAAAATGATTAAATTATTATTCTTAAATTATTAAATTTCCATATTTTAAAGACATGGCATGGAAATATATAATTTAATGCAGTGCGTCTTGTTTAGTCTGATACACACTTCATGGTTTCCGCTACATTCATTCTTCCGTGGTGGGGCACCACACCAAAATTCATCCTGCCATTGCAAC